AGGTTAAGATGATGAAGCAGCCTGACGAGGTAGTGAAGCAGAGACTGGGTAATTTGTTGTAGCTTACTCTTGCCATAAAACTTTTGAAACCATTCAGGCCGCCTTTCAGGAGGCGATCAATTTTCTTAATGGTGGACTAGAGCACTGTATTCATGAAAAATTGTCTGTGAACCGGGACAGCCAGCAAATGAGCATATTATCACAAATACCAAATATTCAAAATCACGACAGGAATGGTGTAACTTGCAATGTAACATCAGATATGGTTAAATGTATTACATTATAATGGTACAGAATGCGTACGCCCCGGTCTTTTTTAAAAGTATTATTCACTACTTAACTAGTTAATATTACCTATCAGTTTAAACCATTTATTTAGAACGAACCTCTGAATCGTCAGAACTGTCACTTTCAAGGCCATCATCTGTTTCGCCAAAGATATCAGCGATCAGGTCGCCGGCTTCCTTTTTGTTTTCCTCTTCATCGTTTTCAGAAACAAGTTGATCGTTTTTGGCATGAGGTGTACGTGTACTGCAAACAGCAAACATTAACAGAGTGCGGTTTAGTAGATCTATGGATAACCTCTGTATCTCCTCTGCTAATGAGTCGTCTATGTTGTTAAGTATTGGTCCTGTAGAAGAAGCGCCATCGCTACCACGGCTACAAGAGAGTGGGTCATCTAAAGTATTTCATAAGCAAAATCTAAGAACTGCCTAACCCTGGAAACGATATGCATTATACTTACCATTCACGAGGATCAGACCTTTATCTTCACTTTCAGCAGTAGCTGCCATCGAACATGGCGGCGTTTCGTCCTCGCTTACATTTTCAGGCGGTTCATTAGATTGGGAACCTGAAAATCAAAACAGTTAAATTGAGAAGAGAAAATATTGCGTAACCACAAACCGTTTTTCAAAAGAACAGATTTCACAAATCACAACAGATGTAAGATATATGCAACTTTCCAAAAAAAACTTTTGCGTTTTCTAAATTATCCTTTCAATGCGTTGACATGTCGAAGATTATTCTTAGTCACAGAACTATACAATGTTTCGTTTAATGTTTATATTTTCATTTTCGTGATCGCAGGCCTGTTCTTTAAATTCGCCAGCTTTTCTACAAGTGTTATGCCATAGTAAACGATGACTGAAATACGGCCAGTCATCGACCCGTTATAAAAATACAATGTCCGGCCGACGGTTTCAATAATAAAACGGCGAAAAAACAAGGAGAATAAATTGCTGTCTATGGATCTGAGTGGAAAACTTTATCCCAGTTTTGTTCCCAAAGTCAAAAAATTCGTTATTTTCCAGGTTGTTCAGATTGTGCTTGTTCTTGATTGATTTGTGACCTCCGATGCACTCGCAAAATTTTAACACTTGCTATGATGCACCGGTCACAATATCGCAGAACAAACAACAACAAGAAAGCGAATCTGCATCCATCCAGCACATTCATGCGGCACACTAGCCTTTTGGTCGATGGATGTCCTCATCTGATTCAAACGTGAATAGACTGAAGGGTGTGGTTCAGAGCCGTCGCGAAATCAAATGATCAGATACATAGGTATGGACCTAGGTATCGATTCGCTGACGTTTGCAATTACAGGTAAAGATCTTTGCTTTCCAATCAATGGCTTATGTAAAATCGTTCATTTACCGATGCAGTTCGACGCCGCACACCAGCACCATCATAAAGATAATAATATACAACAAATACAGGGTAGAATGACGATCTGTATATCAAGAGCAACTCATAAGAAACAAATTCAAAAAGCGTTTCTGTTCCTATGCTTCTCATTACCGAGACGCATTCAAAAACTTCTTCATTATGAGCTCATTAGAAGAGAACTGTGACCAACAGGTTCTGAGAATTTTCAAATTCTGTGCATTAAAGAAGAAACTGGCTCCTACTGCACTGTTGCATATAGTTGTCAGGTGGCGACGCACGACGTAAATCTCGCCTAAAGGAAAGTCTTCAGCTTAGACATATTTCAAACTTCTGCCTCCTCAGCCAAGTTCTCTAGTTTGCTTGACCAGCAGGCAAATCGCGAGCATTTAATAAAAAATTGAAAGTTGGTTGCACATTACCAAACAGAAGACAAATAACCTTACCTGTCGACGCAGGTGAATTAAGCGGTGACAGTGCTGGCCCGCTGTCGTCGTCAGAGTGGTAGCCGACGGCGTGGGATGGCCCAGCAATTTCAAAGTCGTCATCTAACACAACAGAGGGCGCGTGAGATTGATGACGATCAGAGCATGTGGTGCCCTGGGTCACTGGCTCGATGTCAGATTCGTCAGAGTCATACGCAGAAACGGTTTTCGACGGTTTATCCTCTGGGTCCCAATTAGAATCAGAAGCACTGCTACCTGTCGATGAAAGCTTCATCTTCAAGGAATCGAAATCTCTGACGTTCATCGCTTTGTCACTGCTACTTGGATAAGTGTGATGAATAAGCTGATCATTTTCAGGATAAGACTTCATGCTTGATTTCGAAACAACAATACGATTAACCGCATTCTTCAAAGTGTTATCTGAGGAACTACTCTTGTTGTCGTTACTGAACGTCTGTACAGGAGGGAAACCGTCCAGTTCCGATTCTTCATCTGACGATATTTGCCGAGCTGCAGACTGTGATGCAGAAGGCATCGAATCGTTGAATTCGTCATTAGCAGGTTTGTCACAGGATTTTGAAGTCTCGATCAAGTTCTTTCTAGGGTTCATTGCTATAAATCGGAAACAAGTACGAAAATTTCCACACAACCTCCATATAGCATGCAGAAGAAAAAGCGGCGAGAGTATCGCTGTAAGGACAAATTGCCACGTAAAATATCAAAGATGGGCATTGCTGAGCATATTCTCTGTTTCTCAAAAGATGGAGTTACCATTTTACACATCTTCTACGCAATAATACTGTCCAGCCCCTAAAATGGACTGACGATTTTCTAAAATGCATTGCAGCATAGGTATTGATTTTGAACATACCTAAATTTGTGCACTACTAGGCCTTTGCGGTGCAAGATTAGATAAATTCGGAGCATCTGAATAACCGGCACATATCAAGGGAAAGAACAGAGTACTAGGGTTTGCCAAAACGAGATGTTTGTTGGATATATCTCCACTTTCACATATTAGTATCAGTCTATACTGCCTTAGATTTCATGAAAAAAGCATCTTCACAATAAGCACAAATAAGCATTTGGCTGACGGCTTACGAAACTGGGTAAATCTATTTCGGTTATAAAAACGGAACTCATACTAATTCCTATGATCCAAAAATTATAACGGATTGGGTCAGTTTGATAAAAACGCGTTGCTGGCCTCTTGGGAGTCAGAAATGAACTTCATCTTCATCTTCCATCGCCGCTTCTCCTTTCGGGTCGCGGAGGCAGACGCGTCAGACAGTGC